TGGCTAGATATACCAGTGGTGGGCAGAATGTGCACAAATCAACGCCACCAGGATCTGGTGACTCATTCTTAGCAGCTCACATAGTTCAGGTCCGGGAGCAGAAAACCGCACAAGTAGATATGGTTTTGGTACGTTCAGGCAGAACAGTGCTGTAAATTCAGTGTATTGATGCAAATTGTCGGGTAAACACACAACACGCACCAGAGTGAGTTTAGTTTTACGCCGCTTTTAGCAATTTCCACGGCGTGGAACACCAGAATTGGGCTTCACACAGTGTACCCATGTTGGGAATCGAACCCGGGTCTTCGGCGTGACGAGCGACCGCTTTAACCACTAGGCCACCCCACCGTTTCACACATACACCAGACATCACACAACACAAAGTCTTTCACTTCACAAGGTCGCGGTGGTTTGCTCAGTGTGCCGTCCTCGCTTAAATATAACGATTCCTGGAAGAAAAAGTCTTTGAATACGACCAGAGAGGATGCAGATCTTCAGTCATCCCATTATGACCAAAATGGTTTGGCAAAAACAGGCACCGGTCTGTAATTACACGAAAATAGAATAATGGAATCCACAGAGATTCTGCAATTATATCAATTCTGAAGAAACAATGCCGTCTTGTAAACCAAGATGTAGAACCGTTTCCAAAACAACCGTCTTACAAAATGTGATTTGCACAGCACGGAATGGTAATCGTACCAGCTTCAAGGACAGGGAGAGACGCTAACGAAACAGCTACGTGATCCCCTAAGCTCCGACTTGCGCTAGCATCCTCTACTACAACATCGACCACGTAATGGACTGATAAATCTCTCCAGGATATTGTCCAAGCTCTCCTTTATCTTAATTTGCAATATGATTCTGAAGAAGTCGTAACAGAACTCTGGATTTTAATGAATCCTCCGTCATATTTTATCTCCATGCTATGTTTAACTACCTGGGCGGAATCCCTTTGATGTCCTAATTGCAGGGAAACGTTGGCTTGTTTATCACATATGATCAAAGCTTCCCCGGCCGATCATGTAAAAGAACTAGCGGTAGTGATATTGAGGATTATCAGCTGTCAATCATATCTACAATCGTGCCAATTATCAGTCGTGTATTAATTAATATTGTCATCGTTCAAACAATGACGATGACGTATGGAGGGCGGTTATGTTTCCAGAAACGTATTATATCCCCATTCTAGGCTTTTTTGTTATTGACGATCGGATCAGGGACTGGATATGAAACATACATTAAAGTCGATCCCATCATAAATGTTTGCAAGGCTCTTAAATTCCCTATATTATTACCAAAAATGAGTTCGTTTACATTTGGAGATCAGCTCGATGTCCTTTTAACGTCCCACGTATGACATATCGGGCTTTCGCTTCGGTTTCATTGCCCATCAGTTGCACAGATTAAATCAATATTTCTCTTTTGAAATGGTTTAAACACAGAAAATATCAATTTGGCTTGAGTTAAGCCCTCAGAAGCGCCAGTGCTTATCGGAGAATAATAAGATTAGAGGACTGTTTTTTTTCTTTGTTTTGCAAACCTAGGTGTAGTACGTTTTCATTAATGTGACGTTTTATTATAGACTTACGGATGTGACGTATAGCCCCGTATTGCGAGCTCTGTGAGTTGGAGGAAGAACCAGATTAGAAAAAAGGAACCTCAAAGAACTAAACTAATTAGCTTCTTTTCACGTGTGAGGCTGTTTTGCATTAAACCTGAACTGGCACTTTTGAAAGAAAGCGCGAAAGGTTTGTGCGCAAAGATATGTGAAAATAATACGTGCAACTTGTAATTTTGGACGAAGTAAAATGTCACGGTTACACTCAAACAGATTGGTAATGACACCAAATACTTCAAACAAACAGCTTGTTCTACTTCTGTAGGTAGTGCTACGCCCAAAGCATGTTCATATTGTTCAGTTTTGTCTACACATACAGAGTTGCGTCCCTTTGCAGCACACGAATACGCTTATAAGCCTTGTCAGCCTTGTCGAGCTTCCCTTTACAATAACCGAACAGAGCGTGATAAAACTGACACATTGTCTTTTGAGACGTTCACACATTCTACTCAGTACATTGTTGACGCCATTTACCCAGAGTGAGTATGGTTTTACGCCGCTTTGAGCAATATTCCAGCAATATCACGGCGGGGGACACAGGATATGCGCTTCACACATCGGGTCTTGCGGTCTCGGGACGAGCGAACGCTTGAACCACTCGGCTACCTATCGTCCCCATTTACCTGGAAGGCGACTCAAGCCGTTGTGGAGGGTTGCGTCCCTTTATGACCTTCTGTCGTTGGTTCTAATCCCGGTTATTGAAGTGCTAAACTGCTTTACTCCAACTGTGCCAAGACGCCGTTAAATCATTGAAGTATTGAGACATTAACAGAAAATTCGCACGCCTAAAACCATACATCCATAATTCAACAAAAGTTGAGAATCATATTACATAACTGTATTAAGTAACCCGTGAAGATCCGGCTTTGAGTTGGTCTTCAGCAACCCATGCTTGTCGTAAGAGGCGACTAACGGGATTGGGTGGTCAGGCTCGCTGACTGGGTTGACACATGTCATCGCACGTAGATCGATGCTCATGCTGTTGATCACTGGATTGTCTGGTCCAGACTCGATTATTTACAGAACGCGGCCATATAGCTGGCATATTGCTGAGTGTGGCGTTAACGACAAACAAACAAACAAACAAACAAACATAAGCAATTCAATTCATCACGTGACTTAATGTACGCAGTTCATGAAACGTGAAAGTCGTTTCGATCTCATTCGTGTTTTGAAATTGACTGCCTTCCCAATACGACTCTAACATTACACATGGGAGTAGGGATGAACGCCAACGAAACGACAAAGGGTCTGCACCGCAAATGATTTGCAGCCACTTTTCAATTTTCAAAAAGTTTAATCACAATTTTCAAAATGGCCAAAGCGGCGCACAACAATTACTTTGGACGATCGATCGTTTGCAGCAAAACCGCTCGTCAGTAGCAAGATAGACACCACCTGCCGTTGTTATTAACTAGTACCGTATTCCCCCTTGTAGTCGGTCTCCGACCCCACACCCTAGAGAATAAATTATAATATTAAAAAATGAATCCAATTCAAGTCTAGATTTCTTCAGATGCATTGTGGGGATACATTTGCATTTTGCAATTTATTTTCATGATAAGTTTATTTTCTGTGAATAGATTTTGCAATTTATTTTCATGATTAAGTTTACTTTCTGGGAATAAATGTTAGCAAAGAAAACGAAAGTTTGTGGTTTAAGGCCGCACTCATCAACACACAAGCTATATGACGGTAAACAATCCGACTAAACCAGTGGTTGATGTTATGAGCGGTACGATGATCAAATATGCCGCCGAGCTTAAACATCCGATTCCTTAGCTGCCTCACAAACATCGATTGGTGTGGATCTGTACGTACCCGCAATACCAACGTTGTAGTTTCCATTCGCGACCAACGGGCACCTTGTTTTATGGACAGTTGCAGACCGGGTTGGAATTGGTCTTCAGTAACCCATGCTTGTCATAAGACGCGACTAACGGGATCGGGTGGTCAGACTCGCTGACTTGGTTGAAACATGTCATTGTATCCCAATTGCGTAGGTCGATGCTTATGCTGTAGATGACGGGATTATTTGGTCTCGATTATTTACAGACTGCCGCCATATAACTGGAATATTGCCGAGTGCAGCGTTAAATAACAAACAAAAACAACAAACAGTGGCAAGTAGACGCATCACCATGGTACTACCACGATCCATATATCACTATGTAATGACAAAACCCGGGCAGTAGGGCAGCAAAACGGTTAAAAGCCACACCGAAGTACAAGGTTCGCTTCCAGGTGAAGCCTATTTTTGGTGTGGGGCGGTGGGGTAGTCTAGTGGTTAAAGCGTTCGCTCGTCACGCCGAAGACCCAGGTTCGATTCCCCGCATGGGTACAATGGATGAAGCCCATATCTGATGTTCCCGTGATATTTTTGGAATTGCTAAAAGCGGCATAAAACCATACTCACACTATTTCTGGTGTCCCCATGATACTGCTTTTGTATTCCTCAAAGTGAGTGAGTGAGTTAGTTTTACGCCGCACTCAGCAATATTACAGCTATATGGCGGCGGTCTGTAATTAATCGAGCCTGGGCCAGACAATCCAGTGATCATCAGCATGAGCATCGATCTGCGTATTCCTTAAAGCGACGTATAGATACACGCACACACAACTATTATTTCTGTAGTTTGTATGATACCTGTATATATTCGACTAAAAGGAAAGAACAAATCAGACTAGCCGTTACGACCATGTCTGGCAACATGTTAATATGCCATGCGGTAAAGTTGCGGAAATATGCCCCGTAATTCATACAGTCCAATACGGCCTGTATGGTGTTTGCTCTGCAGCGATTAGTAAGGGGCCATTAGTAAGCTCTGGCGATTGTGCAGTCAACTCGCTGAGTATTAGCCCACGCACTTCACACCTAGATGCTTGTAAATCTGCCGTGTGTATGTAATGCATTCAAGGATACTTCATATAAAAATCAATGCTCGTTACGACAAAAGATACCGCATACCATTTGTGATTTTACGACTGCTTCAATCGTCTAAACAATGCCGCCGTTCAAATACTAACTGTTCAATACAATGCTCTAATGAATTCCGTCCTGCCACAAGCACGCTGAAGGAGGATGGAGATGGTGTCACTGAGTTGTGCGTTACAGGTGCGTCATTGGAATCACGGAGGATGTATGTAGAATACCACTAGGCTTACATTTACCTTAAATTTTACTGGCAGCAGAATCGCGACTAATTCATCTAAGGATTCCAGAGAAAACAGCACTGTGATCAATAAGAACAACACATGCTTCCTGGGCAGCGGGTTGTGGAACTACGGGGAAGCGAAAGCGGGCAATTTCTCGCAAAATTAAATCCGAAGTTGCGACGACTGACCATGGTGCCAGGAGTCAGCGCCGAGCTCCGGTTGTTGGTCTAGAGAAGATACCGGTGAATTTTCTCTAGGACTTATCTCAGCCCAGAAGCATATGTTGGGCATCTCTCGGGGTTGACAATGCTGCTGAAGCTGAAACTATCGTGTTTAATCGCTCTTCCATGCTTCCTGGGATAAGCGGAGTCTCGAGGGAGATTTGGATTGGAGGATCGCAGGGGGCGGGGGCATTCACTGACCATATCGCTGTCATCGGCAAACGACCCTACCCCCGGGCTTGTAGAGCATCCTAGCCCAGTAGCATAGTCTGGCGAGCGCTTTACGTTAAGCGTGTTGGCCCTAACGCTATTGTACGCTGGCTCTCGTCGCAGAGGCCCATTAATCTGCACAGAAGGGAGAGGCGTTTCGCTGTTACGCTAGCCCATTGGACGAGCAGTCGAGTGTGTGTACGCTTGTGTTATATTATAAACTGGCGACGCACGGCGTTTGTGTATATCCCTTGCTCACATCACAAAGCAAAGGGCACTGCGGCAAGCGCTTTTTAATAAGTCAACAAATAGCCCATTGATACAGCCAAGCGTTGCCAGAGTTTGTAGAACTGGTGGAATCGCAGGAATTAGGTTTGGTACCAGAAGTCCGGATTTAGAAGTGGTGATTTCCGTGGATTGTACCGTCTTCATCAGGCCTGAGACAGTTTACCCAGCAGACGACAGGTGATTTAGCAGACGATGGTGACTAGTGGACAATGCGGAGGGTGATAGCAGTTTTAGGCAGACCGGTGGATCGTACCCTTCTTACAGTCCTGACTGTCGTCTGCTCACTTGGTAAGTTGCCGCCAAATTCAATCCACTAACCTGTGCTTGCTTTATTGAACTGCCGAGTGATTTAAACCCCCTTAGCAAACTGTCTTACATCGGGGCACGATATCACACGCGATGTTGGAGTAAATCGAACATCTCCCAGACGTGTTGATCGTAGACGTGTTGCATCTCCTGGCTAATTTTCTTTTTCACAATTCTTTATGGATCGAGTGTACTCTGCCCGTGTGTATATTCTAACTTACAGTAAGTCGTTTGCCCTGGCGTCGGGCAATGCCAGTCATGCAGACAGAATATCGAACGGAGTTGGTCCTGCATTTGTCTCCGCATTCCGCTCTGTTGGGACAAACACGGTATCACGTAATTGCTGAGGATATCGTGCCTTCTGTCAACAGTGACCGCTTAGAAAGGGCTATATACATCTGACTGAATATTCCCTAGGTTCTAACAACTTCTTTTATCCGATGTAAAAGCCTCTTCACAAAGGTTGAAATGTTATACCTCTGTTTACATGTGAATGCCATGTGGAGAGACTCCATATATTTGACGGAAACAGGTTCTTCAAATTTACGACAATGAATTTTGTGATAAATTTATTATGTTTTGCTAAGTATTTTCCTCCATGTTAAAAATCACCATCGGAAATGGTGTTCCTCTGCCCTCATATTGAAACGATAATCCGATTCGACAAGGTGGTTGCAAACAGCTTTTTTTCAGTATTACGACAATATGTTATAATTTTTATTATAATAAATATGCAATAATTTAATTATATTTTGAAATAATGTTTTCCTCATACCTAATACACCTACATACGTATTTGTGTGGCTTTATTTTTTAAAAAGTTGGAAAGTTTAACGTTGGTTCAGTAAATAAATTCAAAGAAGTTAGTAGTTAATTGTGACATGTTGTTCGGGTTGTTTAGGCGTATTTGGCAAACCCTATGTACTGGAGAACATTTGATTCGTGTTTGCGGAGCATCAACTAAACGCAAATGCCAAATGCTTTTCAACATACCCTGTAAGCCATTGTTGTTTGCTGACAACTTAACCGCTGAAAGTAGGTAAATCTTCAGACAACCTGATAACAACCAAAGACTTAATTAAAAAAACAACATCGTTCTTATTGACAAGAAAAGTTCACCTGTCCTCATGCAGAAAATAAGTTAAAATAGCCATCAAGTGAATGTGTGGAAACAGTTTATGATCGAATACATTGACTTTATTGTAGACTAAATAGTCATTGTTGACGAAACAATGACATTAAATCTAATACACCAAACTGCAAGGTTCCTTTCGACTTTACTGATTTGTTTCATTTTAATGAAAACAGTGGTAAATATATTTGATAATTTTGTTATATATTCCATTTAAGGAAGAGAGTTTTTATGGATGCCAACTTCTTTCATATGAGGAACACAGCGTTTCGTAGTGTATCCTTAAAGAAGTTGACATCCATATAAGTCTCTTCCTTATGTGTATCACTTCTAAATGCAAAGACCCTATATTCCATCTATTTCTATCAAGAATGCTTCATTGTATGTTAGCTAGGCTACTTACATAGATCTAGACAGCGGGGCCTATCGCTACTCATTCAGTGAGTACTATAAGTACACGTTAAGGTCCTAGTGGCTTGTTGACGTCCATTACAGGAGAGATGGACCTTATAGCGAATGATCCTTGTGACAGCAATGGACAGCAGTGATCTAAACTCAATATCCATTATGAAGTACCAGCTGTTGTGTGGGTATTTAACCCTCGTGAGGACATCGACATGAAATGTACAACATATGTAGCTGTACGTTTCAGCGCTAAATATCCTAGCTCAATGTTACGCTTCGATATTGATTGCAATGTACATCGTTTTACCTTGTCAGTCATGGTAGTAACACTCCGGTCGCGACTGGTCAATTCATCTGACCTAATAGGAATTAACACGAGCACCTGTCGACGGGGAAAATCCGGCGCGGGTATATGTTTGTATGTTGATTTCAATCACTCTGAGTCATACATCCTTTGTGTCACGTTAGTCTCTCTGTCGCTGCATCAATTATGCATTTCTCCTTTGGGATTGATAATATTTTACGTCAAGGACTAGCAGTGTGTATGTTTCAGACAACAGTTTAAATGTTCGATCGGTGTTTATCGAAACGGATTTAATGAACAGAAAACTATTGAGAATGAATCATGGACATATTCTTATGACATAGCGATATATGTGTTTCAGACAACAGGTTGAATATTCGATCGATGTTTATCGAACCGGATTTAATGAACAGTAACTTCTTGAGAATGAATCATGAACGCATGTTTATGATGTAGCGATGTGTATGTTTCAGACAACAGTTTAAATGCTCGATCGGTTTTTATCGAAACAGATTTAATTGAACACTGACTGTGTTTCATGAACATATTATCATGATAACGTCGCAATACTACAGCAGATTCTGTTTTTAGGAGAGATATTTTATAATTGTGATAATGCTCTTGTCGCTTATAGTGGCATTATTGACGTTAAATGTACTACATCACCAGCCTTACGCATGATGTATTTCATTGAGGCTGTAATGTACATTATGAGTTAACACCCATTACAATTACACTCACTGCATAATTAAACACGTTAGACATTTAGTAATACATTTATATATTAAAAGATTTAACATTGTATTAATATGGCACTGAGTACAGACTTGTATAATTCTATCTTTATTATAAAATGCGTCTCTGAGATAGCTATGCACCATAGGTATATATCCTGAACATACAACAGTATAAATAGCTTTTGAGCACAACCCCGACTTCAAACTGGCTCCTACACCTATCAGCTGAAACACACAGCGATGAATGGAACCCTCTCATCCATTTAAATTATACAATCCCAATTTGAACTACCTTTTAAATACATTTCCAGACTAGTAATTTCAGTGGAAATTGTTTTCTTTATACCGCGTGAGTGGGACTTGTTACCTTTATACCACGGGAGATGGGTATCATTAATGATATTGTTAACATCAATGGTTCTTCTACATCACTGTCAGCGGGCGATACTCGCATCATCACCGCGCTTCTCAGTGGAGTGAAATATACAACACGGAAGTGAAGTTCTGATTAAAATAATGAAATTGTATGCTGTTTTAGAATCACGCACATCACTATATTTCTGTCATTACATATATAGAAAGAAGTGAGTGGTTGTGAAATAGATGCTATTTCATTATATGCATCACCACTGAATCATATAATGAAATTGGATTTTTACTCTCTCTGTGTAAATGAAGAAAGCGAGATTTCAGATTTCTGATTTAGATAATGAAACATATGCCTTTCAAATATCAAACAGCATTCGATACGGTGCATCTTTCTATGTAGGGACATTTAATAGTACAACATCACACCGATGTATTAGAATCAGAATTTCAATTCCAGTACATTGTGTTTCATTGATGTTAGCAATATTCCAGCAATATCACGGCGGAGGACACCAGAAATGAGCTTCACACATTGTACCCATGTGGGGAATCGAACCTGGGTCTTCGGCGTAACGAGCGAACGCTTTAACCACTATGTTACCCCACCCTATAAGAACAGAACGTTCTTTACACATCATGTCCTCGTAATGTGTAGTTAGATTGTTTCTTAAAATATCCGGCTGTTATGTTTTTGGGTTATAAAAATCACCTGTGAATAGAGCTATTTCAGAAAATTGAGTTCAAATTTTGACAGGCGTCGTTCTGCAGACAAGTCCCTTCAGTCATAACTGCCATCTGAATCCCTGACATTTGGATAAGTTCACAAGATAACTACTCTAATTTTAATAATTCACTAGACTTTCCCATTAGGGTATCAGGTCACGCTTTCTTCTCCATTTCAACGACAACGTCGACAACAACGTGTCCAGTGTTAACTAATGGCCAATTACAATTTCACTAATGTATTTTAGCGAAGCTAACATTGTATGGATAATCCACGTATCCCTTGCTAACAGTTTATTTAAGCCCGGTGCTTCAGTGGCTTACAAACAAAACCGTTGTAGATTTCTCTACAGCAAGTTCAATCAATACTGGAATAAAACAAGCTACGTGTTGGTGGCTTCCGTACAACGTCGCTTGAAATTTTCTCAATATTGGATTTTAGATTATTACTGAGGATGCACTTGAAAATTTAATCAAAACTTTTTTTCGTCCTTCGTTTGAAATACGCTCTTGAACACAAAGTAGCTACTAGAAGTTTCTGTAAAAGGCGTCTTCCTTGTTTTATTTCCATTGCACGTTATTTTTGGATGGTTGTGAGATTTTGCGGTTTATTTCTGATACCGAAGACAGAATTGCACGTGTGTTAATATTTTACCATGATGGTATTAAACATTGACTGATAAAACAGGTTACTTTATGCTTGTTGAGATGAAACGGGTATAGTAGGATACCAGAGAGAAATATGAATCTCATTATCTCATATCAATTATTAGATAGGGATTTCTTAGAGGTTGACTGACAACAAAGGAGACTGTTTATAGATATATAAATCTCTATTTTACAGTGAGTGAGTGAGTTGGGTTTGACGCCGCCTTTAGCAATATTCCAGCAATATCACGGCGGGGGACACCAGAAATTGGCGTCACACATTGTACCCACGTGGGGAATCGAACCCGGGTCTTCAGTGTGCCGAGCGAACGCTTTAACCACTAGGCTACCCCACCGAAATAAAGAAGTTCTTTTCCATAACTTGTCTCGATTTTGAACCCCATGGTTCATATGTGTCAGCCAAGTATACTTTCTGAAGCCTCTGTTTGTCAGTTAGATATCATGGTGGCATGCTCATTTTCACAAGACAGAATCTTAAATGCGATTAAGAGTATAAACTTTCTCACCCATAACACTAATTTTGACTAATTTTGTTACATATTACCAGCGGTACCAACACAGGCGACCAATTCAAAAAGGTTCAAAGACATCACATACATAATTGAATTGATAGCAACTTTATTAATATTGCTGGTATCAATCA